TGTGATAGCCTGCAAAAAGAGAGGGTGGGCGGGAGGCAGGGAGGGAAGGAGGGTGGGGAGAGCTGCTGCTGCCTGTGACAGCCTTGGACTTTGAATTCAGCGCCAGACAGGCTCATGCATCAATCCCTCAACTTACAAAGACAAGCCACTAACCTTGACGAGGCCAGGGACTCTTCAGGAATGAGTGGCATTTTCACTTAGCCCCAGCTTCTCCCCTGCACTCCTGCCACATAACCTGGTTAAAATAAGACACAGTTGAGTAACAGTCGACCTCAGTCTCTGGACTTTGTGACCCATTGTTCTAGCCTTTAACCCTTAGACTTCTTAGTCCACGCCAGGGACTTTTGCTGTAATGTGTTTGGAGGCAGCATGAATAGCATTTAGTACACAAGGTGCAGCAGTCCTGTCTGTCGGAGGCTGTTTGGTTTGAGCGAGGCGTGACACCAGCTCGTGTGAATCCATGTTAGCCTGGGATCAGAACATAATACATAATATCACAGACCTAATTATGAACATCCTCCTGATGCCGGCAAAAGCCACAAACACGCAGACGTCTATCTGCCGTCTTTATCTCCAGGTTTCTTCAGAGAGACAACAAGGCAGACCTTCGCCACCACATGCACACACAGGCCGGGCATGCCTCCTATCTCTGAGCGTCTGTCCTCATTCCCCTTGCAGCCCGCCCACTCTGTCACGCCTGTGACATTGGCCTGCTTGTGGCAAAGCAGAGACTTTCCCCTCGTCTGACTGCAGCATCCTGGCTGCACGCTCACCACAACGGTAGAGAAACCTTCCTGCTGCACCTCCACAGCCCCGGGGCAGCAGCTCTGCTGTAGGAGCAGGAGAGGCAGAGGGAGGGAGGGAGGGAGTCACTTCCATTCCTCTCCTCTGCTGTGACCACACCAGCCCGGCCAGGAACACAGTCAGCTCCTCTCACATCACCCAGGAGGTCTGCTGCTCCACGCTACATCTCCTCAGTCTTTACTTAACGTATCAGAGGAGAGGGACGGTGGAGATTTGGTGTTGAGCTGGTAGCTCTGTTACCACAGTACAAGCTAGGCCGATGCTGTTTCCCTGCTCTGCTTCATTGATCGGCACAGTTAGGCTTCCACAGCTGTTGTTTTTGAAAGAGGCCGATGCTTCACACGGGTAATTTATTTGACCTGGTGTATCTTGCTCTTTCAGCCTCCCTCCCATTTAGTGAGCAATTTCAGCAAAGTCTAAATAATTCACGGCAATTGCAATCAGCAGCGATCAATCGGTGGAGATAATTGAAGGGCCTGTCATTGCGCCAAGGCCAAGGTGAAGCGTGAAGACAGAGGGGCGGAGAGTTGGAGGTGAGGGTGAAGGAGGAGGAGGAGGCGGGAGGGGAGCCATTCAACAGATGAGCTCCGGCTAGTGCAGCTCTCGGGGGTTGCAGAGGAGGAGTCCATCTTTCTTCCACGCATTTCGTCATTGCATCCAGGAGCCGCGGCTCTAAAGCAGCGTTTAGCAGTTCCTGCCTTGTCATCAAAATGAGCCCCATTGACTTTGGTTGCCTTCTGTTCATGACAGAAGCACCAACAGGAGCCGGAGTGATTGTCTCTGAATGAGATAGTGCTGCTATTACTGAGAGCCCTCACTAAAGCCCTATCTGGTGAGCAGCACACAGGAGGAATACGCTCCAACTGCCCACACACTGATCTCATTTCAGAAAGCGCCGCTAACTTGTGTAGTTCTGCTTTCTGATGTGGATTCTCTCGTTATTCTAGTAGCACCATATTCTGAGAAAAAATAAAGACGTCCTGCTCGGTAAACACGCGTCTCTGTACGTCTCTAATTGGGGCCCGGCTCGGCGTGGTGGCGCTCCAGACATAGTTTTAACATCCGTGTTCATTTAATAATTCAATTTTGTTGGCTTCAGTTGCTACATCGGTCCGTGTGCGTTTACACTTTAATCACTCAAGCCGTGACATTTCCGTCGAGTGTTCGTCATAACCATTTCAAGACATTTCCACTTTTGAGCAATCCGGCCCGGTTGTGGCGTCGCCGCCGTGATATCACCCGCTGACAGACCAGAGTTATGGAGGAAGAGGCACAGAGGAGACGAACACACAAGCAAACTGATCATTTTAAACCTCTGATCAAGTACAACGCTGACTTCTGTCTTGTTAATTCAATCCCTCAATGAAATTTACAGCATAATTGTTGTGGTGTAAATCTCCGTCCTATAACAGCAGCGCTACGGACTTTTGTTATTAGTCGAGTGTCTACTGAATAAACAAACAATAAAGGGAACAATAAAATGATTTGGCTTAATGCATGCTCCACACCACTGTTATAGAGCCCAAACAATTAGAGAAATGAGCTGGCGGCCCAAAGGTCTCTGGTTTGAATCCTCTGCGGGCCGGAGTACGGGCCTGTAAGTAGATGAGAAATGCACTTCTATTCCTCAACATCTACTGTCAAAGTGCCCTTGAACAATGTTCGGTGGCCAACAACACAAGTGCTGGGCATCTCCCAGGTCTATAATAAATCAAAAACTCTGCAGTAAATGCATGACACTCTGGTAGATTGCACATTAGTTTTTTTTTTTTTTTTTTTTTCCACCGAGTATCTCAGCAATCAAAAAGCGGGATGCCACCCTCAATTTGGTCTGCCCTGTGTCTCATGCTATTGTGAGTGACAGATTTACAAACAGAGGGCTGTGAGCTGGCACCGTGCTGCTGCTGGTTAGAGAGGCTGTTAGTTGAGGTAAGTGCCCGGGCAGCTCCTCCTGTATCTGTGGCATCATCCTGGACAAAAATACACCACATTACACCGAATTATGGAGAGGACAAAAGAAAGTCACCAAGTAGCAACAAGCACAGATTCTGAAATTACTTCTGCCAGAGATGTGCACAACGCACCTGCATGACCACAACCACACACACACACACACACACACGTCACAACATGCCACATTCATACAGCAGCAGCAGCGTTTTGTTTGGATGGCAGATAAGATTTGCTGTAATGAAAGGCAGCCAGTGGACAAGAGAGAAGAGTGCAGAGTCCTGTCTTGTGACTGTTCAGCAGTCTCGACATCATTTGCATTTGGCCATTTGAATGTCCTCTGGTTCTGTTGCAGGCTACTGCACATCACTCAACAGCAGCTCCCTGGACAATAGCAGATGGCTCAGTCAAATCAAGCTCCATCCCATACAGACAATCCTCTGAGTTACAGCACACAGCCCAGACCACTCAAACAAAAGTACTTTTAAAGTGCAACTCTGAAAGTTGGGCTCTAAATGTGGAGGTTTTAGTTATCTATGGCAACAGAGGACAAGCTGAACTACCTTGAACATCTTGTGTAAGTTCAGGTCAAATAATTAAGCAGCTTAAATGTTCAACAAAAGAAGGGCTAAAAGGCAGACCCCCAGACACAGACGGTATTTAGAAGGCTTTAAAAAAGTTTGACTTTTCTCCACATTACTTCAGATTGTTGGTCTAAGTTAAAGCGTTTGTGTGAAAGGCAGCACATTAACGAAACCCTCTCTAAGCCTCATATTACAACATCCAAACAGGTTGCGTCTGGGAAGCTTTGTACGCTGAACCTGGACTGGAGATGTACCCTGCCCTCCTTCCTGTAACTCAGAAAACTTCTGCCCCCGACCTTTTGCCTCCACACTGATCCAAAGTCCAATGAAGCAATAGGACGGTTCAGAAAAGGGAACACCTACGCAAAGGCCATTCAAAAAAACCTCCCTGGCACTTACTGAAAACACATCGAAGACTTTGAAATCTATCAAAACACATCTGACATGATGACACAGTGATGTGACAGGCTGCAACAGAACAACTCCAACCAGCCGTGTGTCAGGCTGCAGACTGAACTCACATCCATCCGAGGACCCTGGAGGGAGTCGTCATGGGTTCACATGTTTCCAGAGCCGGTCGAGGTAACAAGGCAAAACAAAGCGACTATTAATGGGGATCATTATTGAAGCTATGAATCCAGTTTACGGCTGTTCACGCTGCATTAAAAGGCCTGGATTGTGTTATAGATTTACTACAGCTCGGTAACGTTTGCAGCCACCTTGGCCTCTGTTTACTGTACATGCTCCGGGTTGGTGTCCCTGCCTCCCTCTGAGCTACTGAAATGACAACCGCACCACATGCAAAGCAAATCTATGATCAACCCCCCAAAAAAATCACCAGAGAAATGGTGACAGTGAAGAGATGCCATCTGATATCATCGAGGGCAGCGCCTCGGAAACCTTACTACTGATCCGAGTTAAACAAGGCTCGGATCCTTTCCCAGGCCTCAGGGTTCATGTAAACCTCTTCAGGATCTTTGGAAGGAGCAGGACTTGCCAACAGTCATTTACAGACCAGTGCAACTGTGAAGCGTTTCCCATTGGTGGTGCTAAAACTACTCGGAGACAGGAGGCTGTGGACTGTTTTGACCCAATGTGATGAACTACATTCACTGTACTGAGGCTACAGTACAACTCTACGGGCACGGCCAGCCTCCACTGCGCTCTGCTCGTCCATTAATCCAATGGGTGACATTAGCCGTCCAGTGCTGCTGGTGTGACAGCAGCCGAAAATACACTCAGACAATTAGGATTTCAGGAGATTGAGCTGCGGTCGATGTCTGTGTGTGTGTGTGTGTGTGTGAGGAGAAAATGAACATTTACGCAGAAGCCCCTCCGTTGGAGGCCTAATTCACTGATCACACAGGATCCGGGCAGTGGCTGCTGCTAATGAACGGCCGTGGGTGAAAGGAGAAGCGGAGGCTCGGGCAGCGCACTCGGCCAGCTCCATTCCGCGCTTCTCCTTTATGCAGCGTTTTCAGCGCTATCTCCAAATGCGCCTGTGGCCGCCGTACGGCTCCCCAGCAGCCCTCCCCATCCTCCGCCAAGCACCCTATCATCCCCTATACCGCTCCACATACGCGCCCCCGTGTATTTTCGACCCCCCGGCGGTAATAATCATCCTCCCCACGTATGACAGTGCGTTCATGTCCCGCTGCCTACCTGCGGTGTCCGCCGCGCAGTCAGCCGGAGAGGCGCATCGTTATTATTCGACAGGAGGAGGCAAATCCAATGAAAACGGTCGCGACACTTTTGGCAGGAAACAGAAATGGCGAGGCTTAAAAAAAAAAAAAAGAAAAAGAAAGAAAGAAAAAAAAAGGAATAAAATTTTAGTCCGAAAAAAAAAAAAAAAGCCTCGGATGAATTTTTTCTTTTTAAATGTGAAACAAATGAGAGGTGCGGCTGAGCGCGAGCTGAGGTGTGGAGCGTGCAGTCTGTGGGAATTGTTTATTCTCGGAGTCCCCTCGCTGTGGAGAAGTGAGCGGAGACGGTCTCACTCCTCCTCCTCTGCCTCCTGACACCACCCTTAAAGGAACAAGCTCTCTGCTGCTGCTGCTGCTGCTGCCACACGGCCATCAGCACAACAACAACAATAATAACAATAATAATAATAATAATAATAATAATAATGAGGGAGTTACTGTAACTTATGTTGAAATGTATTCTATAAAACTGGAGCATACAGACGGATGAGGGTTTGTGTTGCACATGTGACATGTATGTTACCTGTGTGGAGGTAAGGCTCCTGTTGTTGTTGTTGTTGTTGTTGTTTTTGTGTTTATTAGACTGCCATCTGTTTGTGTTTGAGATGCACATCATCAGTCACAAGTTAAAGGTCGTGTTTATTTGGATTTACATGATTCTGCTGTTGATGTTAATTACAGCAGAAAAAACAAAACAAAGAGGGAATAACAGGATTGGATGTAAACTGTAAAAGGGAAAAGCTTTTGTTAGAGGCTCACAGGCCACTGTTTGCATACGTTACTTGTTTAAAGTGTTTATGTTAAAGGTTTTAAAGCCTCCTGTGTGTCTGTCAGGGCACCACAGAGACGTCTGATTGGACTGAATGATCTGGAGCACAACAGGCGAGACGAAAACACGGTAACAGGCCCAGTCCAGGTTTCTCTCGATGCCGTTCAGCGTGTCAGTTTCCACAGAGTTCTGACCCGTGGGCCCACAGTCAGAATGAACGTTAGCCGCGCTAGCCGTGTGACGCGCTAACGCTAACCTTTTTATTGTGGTGACAATGCCATCAAAAATAATAGTAGTCTACTAAATCTTAAGCTCCTCAGATGCTGGGAGTTCATGGAGACCCTTGTGTTCACTCTTACTGCAGCCTGAGCACACCAGCTCACCCACCGCTCTGCTCACACACTCTGAAGTTACTGCACACTGGCTAGTTGGACTATCTGAGTGATTCAGGTTAGATGTTCCAGTAGTAACAGAAGTGATGTGACAAACATTTCAGGAACATTAAGAGAACAGTAGCTGCATTTTGCTGTAATTAGCACTTCTGTGAAACACGACAGGTTTTACAGGAAACATCACGTGTTTGGTGAACAGCCTAATTTAATAATAAGAGGAACTCCACCAGTTGTCTGCATTTTACTGGTCATGTTACTGGTCACTGGAGTTATACATCAAATAATGTCCTCTGTGGCTAAAGTTGGACAAAGCAATGACATCATCAGGGTAAAACAGGTTTCTAACAGAAAG